TTTTTTTCAGGATTCTTTGATGAATAGAAAGATCCAAAGATCAGCATTTATCTGAAATAAAAAGCTTTTGTAACATTATACACTATTCCATTCAGTATAATTTTTATAATTTTTTTGGGGAAAGAAATTATAGAAATTAATACTTTTATTTAGCAAGGATGCTTAAAATTGATCAAAAGTGATGATAAAGGCATTTATAATGTTACAAAAGATTTCAATTTCAGATAAATAGTGTTCATATCGATATCGGAATTATATCGTATCGACCGAAATTAAGAAATATATCGTGATATCAATTTTGGCCATATCGTCCAGCCCTACTTTGATCATTCACAAGAAACCGGCCGCTCATCATCTTATTGAGAACGAGGCCTATAACTGTCATGCACTGATACCTGCCGGTGGTTGTGCATTTCTTTTGTGTTGCTAGGATACAAAGCTTTTCATGTGAATCATACAGACGTGTTATTGCTGCAGTCCTGACACTCACTCACTTTGCGCCATTCCACGTGCTCCGCACTTCAAAAACACTGAAAACCTACAGTGCACAGAGGAAAACAACAAGACAGGGAGCGATTCAATTATTGCTCCACCAAGAGCCCATTTCTACCAGCACACCTGGCGTGAATATTAAGATGATCATAAAGCATATTTAACAACAGTTTAAATGCATCACGTCGCTTCACTGTGAACATTTTCCCAAATATCTTAGCGCTTAACTGTCGGCAGTCATACCACACAATTCAACAAATTATTTATAATTACTTTCTAATAACTCGGGTTGACAGTCAACAAGCACTAAGACTAAATTACTCAAAGCAAATCTAACAAATATGAGGCGAGACTGAAACTGTCAAACTTAATAGGCCTACAGTATTTGTGCTAGGATATAATATTTCAGCTTAGGTTAAAGAAAAGAAAAACTGACACTGATATGGAATCTAGAAATTTGAGTAATAAGAAAATTCTCCATTAAACCATATATACATATATATATATATATACATACACACATAAATATGTACACACATACATATATATATGCACACACACACACATATACATATATATACACATATACATACATACATACATACATACATTATATATATATATATATATATTAGGGGTTCCGAATAAAGTTCGGAAAGGTTGAAGGGAATTACAAGGACATTCGCGGGCTTCATTGCACCGGATGCGCTGTGAGAGACGCGTGCTTTGTTTGATGTTACACTTGAAGTGTGCGGTCTCGCCCGTCGGTATTTTCCTTACAAATGCTCAACAAAGTCATCATTTATGTGGTTTGGAATGCAGTGGACTTAAAATATGAACCTCACTAACAGAAGGCTCGCTTTGTTTGTGAAGACTGCTCGCGCATGCTGCTGTGCGTGACTCGTGGTTTAATGCACTTGCATCTCAAAATGGTTTTATGATGCACAATTAATATAAACACAGCCAGTTATGTCTTAAAGGGATAGTTCACCCAAAAATGAAAATGTGATGTTTATCTGCTTACCCCCAGGGCATCCAAGATGTAGGTGACTTTGTTTCTTCAGTAGAACACATTTGATGATTTTTAACTCCAGCCGTTGCAGTCTATCAGTCGTATAATGCATGGCAATGGTAACAAAATCTATGAGAGTAAAAAAAACATGCACAGACAAATCCAAATTAAACCCTGCAGCTCGTGACGACACACTGATGTCCTAAGACACGAAACGATCGGTTTGTGCCAGAAACCGAACAGTATTTATATAATTGTTTACCTCTAATACACCACTATGTCCAATTGTCTTTGAGCGCATGCACGGCATCCGGTGCGCGAGGTGTGTACGCGCTCTGGCGTAGTTTACGTTAATGAGTGTGTTGATATCCAGCCGAAGAGCAATCAACCATAACTTCAGGCGAGCAGGCTCAGAAGTTGGGAATCATACACATATATATATATATATATTCCACTAATAACTGGAATCAATAAGGATGTTTATTGTAATTGTATGCGTGCCAGTTCAATTCATTTTGCAAGTCATGATTCAACTAAACCAATTATATGCTAATAATTACCAAAGATATACTAATATATCTCTTGGCCACAAAAGTGTGTGGGCGTTTTAATAAAAACATATATATTAAAACAATTCATATTCCGCGTGTTAATAAAATTGCAATACGATGCTCTTACAGCCAACTCACTTATCGGTTCTCAGCGCGTCAAGAATCAAACACCTGTCTCGGCTACTGAACGAATCATACGAGAACGAATCGTTCAGACCGTTTTAACCGGTTCAAATGGTTCATTTAAAAAAGATCCGACTCAAATGAACGATTCGTTTCAAGAATCATATATCCTACTCGTCGGGACTGCTGTGACGTAACAGAAGGGAGGCGTAAAACAGTTTAGCTTGACACACTGTTATCATTTACGGTAACCATAGTTTACACCAATTTCTATAATTATTGTTCTTTTCTAAAACGTTAATGAACATGACATTTCACTTACGCATTATTTTCTTTTGTAGTAACAGTGGCTAATAACTCGAAGTAGTCATAGTTTATTATGTAGCACTTATACCTAGCATTTTGTAGTTGAATAATGACTTATGTAAGAGAACGTTTAAACTGCCCAGAAACATTAAGGCCCTGTCCAAATTACTCCAAAGTATAGATTCCGTACACCTTGCATTCGCTTTTATTAAACATGACAAGAAGAGACATGTTAAAGTGTTTAAAAGCGCAGTGCGGCGTGCTCTGGAACATGATGCCGTTGCGCTTGAAATAACACGGAAACGCGTAAACTTAAGCTTCAGTGCTGCAATGCATGAGAACGATCTCCCTGTGTTTAAGTTATACGAGCGCTCACCTCAGATGAAGAGCGAGGAACTGTCCAAGCCCACCGCGGAGAACATAAACACTCCAGAGCCGGCGACAGTCTCCGGTGTTCGGCTGCTGAGCCGCGCTGGGGTCGCCTCGGTGTGCGCTGATGCTCCAGCGCATGCAGCACTGCTGGAGAACGGCGGGGGTCCAGCGGGGGTCCAGCGGGGGACTAGAAGAGCCAGCGAGCAGTATCGCTGCTGTCAGAGCGGAGGTAAACACGAGGCATTATGGGAATCTGGAGGAGCAACGTGCTTTATTCACGCGGGGAAGCACACAGCGACATCTAGGGTGCAACAATGTTTCATATAGACACAAACAGGAAGTATCATGACACTAGAGTTTTTATTTGGGCATGGTACTATGGTAATACTATGACATTCTATTAAATATTTTAGAGTATTTATAGGGACTTTTTGTATATGCGTGTGCTGTGGCATACTGACGGATCACAAAAAGAAAATCCACATTTGGAAAAAACAATCAAAATAGTATAGATTAAAAATACTTTATTCAAAATAACACTAAATAAAAATACACAAATTAATTAGACATGGATTTACTGCCTGTGATCCACACACTCACTCCTTCAAACTACTCCGAACAACCCAATAATGATAATTAGACAAGCATTGAATCTATTTTGTCTTTGTGTGCTCTTTCCTAATGAAACACTTTTGTCCTTGATGAAGGCTTCCTTCGACAAATCACTTTTGAGTTTGATTGATGTAATTAGAATTCTAATACAGTCTATTGTCAGCTGAGCATTCGTGATTTTGTGTAATTATCCATAAATGCATATTAGATTGCAATTATTATCAAAGAACCCTTTAACCTGAAAAAAAAGAAGAAAACTTACATTGAATGTTTCGTTCTCCAGCAAGAATGTCTGTTCCATTAAATCAAGCTCATGTGATCAAACTAAAACCATAAAAATGACACTTTCATTACTTGCAATAAATTAAACACTTATGGAAATAAAATATATATATAAAAAAACTGAAACATATTTTATTTCAGCTAGTTGCCAAGTCAACATGTGTGATTTTAATTTACTGTAACTTGATGTGAACATGTGAACATTTAAATTAAAATGAAGAAAAACTATGTAGACATATAAAAACAAAAACGACAGACAGACACACAACAACATTACTAAAACTTGAAAAAAAAATGCAGAAAGGAAATATTAAAATAAAAGCTAATTCAAAAAAAAAAAATTAGAATAGAATCTAAAGGACACTAAAATAACACTGATTTCCATCAAACAAAAATCAGTTACCTTAAAGAAATAGTTCAGCCAAAAATGAAAATTTGCTGACAATTTACTCACTCAGGCCATCCAAGATGTAAATGAGTTTGTTTGATCATGGGAACAGATTTGGAAAAATGTATCATCACATCTTACTCAGCAATGGATGCTCTGCAGTGAATGGGTGCCGTCAGAATTAGAGTCCAAACAGCTGATAAAAACATCACAATAATCCACAAGTAATCCACACCACTCCAGTCCATCAGTTAAAAGTATGTAAAAGAAACAAATCTATCATTTTAATTTTAACTTTACAGTGTTTAACTTTACAACTTTAAACTGTCTCTTCTGGCCAAAACACCATAGTCCATAATAACACTTCCTCCAGTGAAAAAGTCCATTCTCTGTTGTCCTCTCACATCAAAATCAACCCAAAAATTTGTTTAGAGCTGTTTTGGCTTGTAAACGGTGCTTGATCTGTGCAGATTTCTCTCCTGATTCAGACCAGACCATTTTTTCACTGGAGAAAGCAGTTGGGGAAAAAGTTACATTTTAATTATAAATTTGTTGCTTAAAGACACTTAGCTTTTGGCTTCACAAGCTGTTGACTGATGGACTGGAGTGGTGTGGATTATTGTGATGTTTTTGTCAGCTGTTTGGACTCTCATTCTGACGGCACCTATTCACTGCAGAGGATCTATTGGTGAACAAGTGATGCAATGCTGAATTTCTCCAAATCTGATGAAGAAACAAACATCTTGGATGGCCTGAGGGTGAGTACATTTCAGCAAATATTCATTTTAGGGTGAACTATTCCTTTAACAGACAACATTTTAGTATGAAGGTACACCTAAGGAAAGTTTCAGATTGTCTTCATAATAAAAGAGAAAAGATACATTACCTGCAGCAGCAGCACAAAACAATGATTACCTCTTTGGCTATTGGTTATTCTCTATTCTATGTAGTTTCAAAGTTCCATTAGCAGTTTAGTTTCATTCCAAGAGCAAGCAGAAGTTATTATTTTGATGACAAACATGTTTTGTATTTATAACATGCATTGATGAATTGTGAACAATAAGATTAGTAAGGTCAATTTTTGATTTCAGGACTGTAAATGATCAGCAAGGCATTCTTACACAGGGCAGCGCACATAAACACAGCTAATTCTGGTAGGATTTGCCTCTGTGCAATGTAATTAATCATTGTGAGGTTTTTAAAGCCATAAACACATTGAATCTAATGTAGCTCTGAAATAGAGCAGAGAGCACAGAGCCAACAAGAAAAAGCTCTGCACGTCCTGAACAGATCACACCCCTCATGATTTATTGCTCTCCTGTGTTCTTTATTCCTTTAGCTGCTGCAAAAGAGTACATAAATCTCACTGTTTTATTCTTCATCGTTAGCTTTTAAGGATGAAAAAATATGATTTCAAAATTGTTTGTACTTTAATGCTCTCTCTTGGACAACGGCTCCCACATCAAAGGTGATAATGTATATATACCATTACAAGAACAATAGTTATCTTCTATGAGCAGATACTCTGCAGAAGAACCATTTTATGCTTTATGACGTGTCTTTTAACCCGCAACTGAGGTTCCTCTGAGATTTACGGCGTAAAAGCACTAGGCTAGAGAGACAGATTGAATAAAGCAATGGGGGAAAGGGAAATATGAAAGCACAAAGACTCACACAAACAATTGTCCACATTTGTCATACAAAGTTCACAGACAATACTGCACTGGGAGGTTGGACTATTCATGAACGCAAACAATTAATCTTCTAACCAATTCAGATGACTCTGTATCATTAGAAGCATACAAACTGGGAACAAATGTACAGTATGCATGCACTGCATGAATTTTACATTTTATGGCAGCAGAAAAAAAAAACTTTTGATTTAATTTTTTTATTAAAATCATCATTGAATCAAAGATGCATTTACTGCTTGAGAAGCAAAGTTGTATAATGTGTTAAAATTTAAAGTTTTTATTGTCGCTAACAAATAGTTTTTGTTTACCCCCACATAAATCTAACAAAATGTATATATATATATATATATATATATATATAGAAGGTACCTATTTTAATTTAATTTTATTGTAAACATAATACCTTTTTCACTTATTTTTATTTCAGTTCATGTCATAAAACCAGCGAGCTAAGCCAGTAGTAGTAGCCTACTGCAGGGTTGCCAGGTTTTCACAAGAAAACCCGCCCAATCGCTACTCAAAACTAGCCCAATCGCGTTTCGAGGGGGTCTCCAGTTAAAAATCACATTCCGGGGGGTAAAATACAGGTTTCTTTGGTGGGGTTCATGAAAAACATCCCGCGGCAACAGTAGGTGCGTTTCCATTACCCTTCAAATTGCGCAAATTGAAATTGCGAATTGAAAATACGCCTAATGGAAACGCGTCAATTTCGCAAAAACGCCCATATATCGCAAAAAAGTTTTTACGCTCGCATTGTCGTGTAATCATGGCTGAAGATGCGAAAAGAGGAACAGATGAACTGATTCAATTGAGTGAGTCATTTGCGCTGGAGCCGGTCTGATTGATTCAGACTCAAACTCGTGACTTTCAAGCGATTCATTTTTTAATATTGACATCGCTTGTAATGATTTTGAAAAGCAAGTATAGTGAAGGGTGAAACCATTTAAACCAGTTAAACCATTGCGTCGCAAATTAATGATTCACTATTTCGAAGCGCTACAATCGGGTCGCGTATCACGAATCATTTGATTCAGATAGAGGCTGCGTTCCTCTACACTTTTAGACACGCACTCGCGAACTTCCCTAAGCACTTCCCCTCGGGGGAATCCCCGCTGCCGTTTTGAAGTGCGTTCCACATCGTGAAGTGGACGAGGGAAGTTTATATGGACAGACCCGGCCTCGACCCCTCAATTTTGACCGAGGGAGCGAGTCTGCTTCATATGCACACCACGCCCCCTAGATCTTCTGTTCTGCAGTGACGGGCTGCATCCGAAAACTTAGGCAGTTGACTTGCTGCCTCGCTGCCGTATGAGGCAATGACTTTGCAGGCAGCGTTTTTGCACAAAGGCACCTCATGAAACTGATTTCGGACAGGCTTCTGAGGCAGGGTAACGGTTTAATGATCTACAACAAAATAGAGTTTTTGTGATAACTAAACGAATATTAAATTACTATAACACTGATTTCTCGCTAGAAATAACATCAAAAGTGCAAAAAGTTTAGTCAGAAATATATTTACACGCAAACTGACCACCAAACGCAACTTTCAGACGCCATCTTTATTTTTTAGCTCAACCATCATGGAATGGAACGCACAGGATTGTGGGATATCAAAGGCAGTGAAGGATACATCTATGCTGCCTTCAAAATTCGATCAGAAGAAGGTACCTCCGGAGACAGGAAGTAAAGCAGAATTTGGATGCTTTCCTGTTTTGGAATGCTGCCTCCGAAGCACCAATGCTGCACCAAACAAATTCGTAAAGGGAAAAATGTAAACAATAAACCAACTGTATAGCGAATTCTAAGTGATCAAGGGCTTAGGACATTCCAATAGAGTGGGGGAACTATGACGTCACTTTGTAGGCCGATCGGCTGTTAGCATCACACTGGCTCCCTCGGCAAAAAGGCAATAGGATTTTTCCATAGGCTTTTGGATTATCGCAAAAAAATAAGCTCTGTGTTCAATCATAGTTCATGAAACTATCATGTTTTGTCCATCAAGATAATCTTCACAAAATAATATAACTTTTATGAATTTTAATGCCTAAATAAAAGGCCAGAACTTAAAAGCTAAACTTAGTCTATAAACGAACTACAGCACCACGGTCGCTCGCCTTCAGCGTCACCACCTCCATGCTTCCCACAACTTTTTAAAACTTATTTTTAACATGTTCAGTGAAAAGGATTTAGTCTGTATATGAATTTTAATCCACGCTACATGAACCTTTTCATATGAACTGGAATAAATGCAAAACTAGAGCCAAACTAATACTGAAATGAGACATTAGTAATAAATTATTATAGTGAATAAATGAAATAATCATAACTAAAAGACATATGAAAGCACATATTTCGGTACATT